GTATTTCCTCAGCAACCAGCACGGATCAGCTCCAGGCATGACGAAGCTGATATCTTCCTCTTTTGGAAGGCCAAACAAAGTAGTTTCGCTTTCACAACGAAACATAGCTTAACACAAGGCGGGCTAGAGTGAGCGGAGACCGGCTTGAGTGAGCGGCGGCGGGCGGGCTTGCGACAACCACATGTGATGACCCCGGGCTGTCCACGGTGAAAGTCGATCCGGCGATCCACAGCGCGAAGTTGATACCCCTTTAAATATCCTATAGAGTATACAGTAAATATATACTGTAAATGTACTACACAAATTTAATTGAATTTGAGAAAATGGGATATTAAGCTAAGCGCACAAATACTGATGTACTAAAGGTACATTGCAAGCGGGAATACTCATTTCATAATTAATATCATGGCTAAAATAAATCTAAGCAAGCCGTGCAGTTGAATAAATATGATGGTTTGAGTGAGTCATTGTGGATTATATCATTTCATGCTGGCTGATTACATTTAAAGGAGGCTTAGATCAGTGGGACAAACACACCAAAAGTCTGGAGCTTCTAGTGCAGTGTTTTTCTTGAAAGATCCCATCATTTTCATTAACACAAAACCATTCATACAGTTGTCTTAGCACAGGGAAAATGAAAAAGCGCCTAGAGAATATTCCAGAATAGACTGTGTCAGTAAATAATATCTCACTAGGCATGAGAGCATTCTCATAAGAAATCCCCTATTTCAGCTTATAATTATTATTATAAATTTGTCTGTCCCTTTGGAGGACGAGCAGTGTTTTATCCTGCCCACATGCTTATAAGAGCGGTCTCTAGCACTTTTCCCCCTAGATGGCTGTCACACACAGTGTGTGCGTTACTGTCAGAGAAATGGGTTAATTAAACAAAGCATCATACCCATAATTACCAAAAGGTCATCACATCCTAAGCTTCAACGTGACATTTAAATTTTTTTGCAAATTGAAAAAGCCAATCCTTCTGTTACATTAATAAAGGATACAATGAAAGCAGAGAGACAGAAAGCATGGCAGCAGTGCTGCGGATGAAATGCTGAGTAATTCTGCTGCTTTTTAATTTCTTCACCGCTACTAAATCATAGAGATGAGCTCTCATCACATTCATAGAGGCTCACGTAAACACTCGATGAGAACATTGTGCTTCAAAGTTCATTACAATTAATTTTCAGTCTGAGACTGACAAACGAGCAGCGATGCTGACGATAATGAGTACTAATTTAGTTTCCCACACAAATGCATTTTATTTTCAATCAAATGGCTGAGTAAAAGACATACATCTTGACTGTTCTCTAAAGACAGGAATGCAGAAAATACTACTAAACAAACATTTACACATTTTAACATGGTGAAAATGAAGCCATCAAGCCCGGATTGTGAGCAGGTGCGCTTTTAAAGGCAGGAGCATAACCCATTTTGAGCTGCAGACTGCATTGGAGGCCCAAGTCCTTGTGGAATACCTCTCTTTATGAGGGATCCACCCATGAGAAAAAAGCACAGCATAGCAAATTCAGAGTGCTAAAAACAGCTGCGCTGAAGCTGACTATGAATCAGCGATAACGCATTGCCGTATAGCATGTTCCCATTCTGTGAGTGTGATTTATGATAACAAACTAATTAGACGATCAGCATCATTCCTAATTGAATCCTCATCCAGCTGATCCCTCCATTGTCAAAGATTTACATGATTTCTGTCAAGCCACAAAATTGAAGGTTCAAATGATCCAATAATTGGTCAACAGGATTGGTGGAAACGTTTTGTTCTCTTCATTTCACTGACTTACAGTATTTCTACCAATTGAGGATGGAATAGTTTACTCATAAATTCAAATTCAATCATCATTTACTGATGTCATGTGAACGTGATTTTCTTCTTAAATTTCAATCGCACACAAAGCTATCTTTTGGGATTTTTCCCCTTTTTGGAGTTTTACAGCCCCTGGTCACATCTCTATAGAAAAGAAAAGAACAAGTTAAAACGGTTTTCTTTTCTCGTTCAATTGAAGAAAAAGTCATATGTTTGAAATAATGGCAGAATGTTCATTCTTGAGGGATAGTTCACTCAAAAATGAAACTTCTGTCATTGTTTACACACCCTCATGTTGTTTCAAACTGTGTAACATAAAAGAAGATATTTTGAGACAGTTTGTCAAAGTGTTTTTATTCATAAAATGGAGGTCAATGGTAACCAAAATTGTTTGGATACCAAAATATCTTCGTTTTGTGTCCCACCAAAGAAAGAAAGCGATTTAGGTTTGGAACAACATGAGGGTGAGCAAATGTTGACAGAACAATCTTTCTTGGGTGAACTATCCCATTAAATTTAGACGCCCATCTAAGCTATCCAAATTTAAACTTACTTTCCATAAACTCTCCAGAGAGGAATTTCCATGTGCTATAGCAATGAGAAACAACAACAGAAATTACAAATACAATACTAATTTCCAATTCCTACTGTTAAATCTTTTTAAGAGCACTCTAGCGAACAGTTTTACGAGGATGCATGAGAATCTTTTGTCTCAGGGCTGTGAAAATTCAATTTCAAAACATTAAAAAAACGATTCCAACGTTTAGGATTTAATTTGCCCTAGTATAAATAATAATAAGATGCAAAAATGAGATATTGCTACTTGTTGCATCATTCTAGACAAACATAAAATGTAGTGTGAGATTGAACAATAAGGTCCATCTGATCTACTGTTACTGTTGAAAAGAATTGGTCACTGCAGGCTATAAAAGGAACCGAAGAGCCTGTCTACCTAAAATGCAATAGTCCACTCCATTTTCCATTTAGGCTGCATCAGTGCTATTTCTGCTGCAACAGGAGAGCAGAGAGAATACTGTCCCCTGTGACTATACTGCACAGGTTGAATCGATCTCTTAAAACGATTTTGCCTTTTCACGCGACACTGCTGTAATGCAGATAGATTAAACTGATCTTTGACGTACACAAGGACTAGCAGTGGTTCATCCAAAGTAGCAGCTGCACGGTGGAGCACACAGCATATTCTGATCTACTATATATGTTGAGCTCATCTTATATTTGCGCTACAGAAAATTCTGTGTTATGATCAACACAACAATGTGTTATGTTGTACAAGCAATTGTGTCATCTAAGAACCGACTAGCAGCCATTATGATGACTATGCAAACTGAGCCCTGTCCAGAGATCAAAAGGCGTTTTAAACCTTTAGTCGACTCATCATAACAGTGCTCCCATCCACACAAGCCTGACAGATTATGTCACACGTGAATTTAGCCAGCCAAATGATTTAGCACATCCAGCTTATTCAGACAGTCACATTATATAACAAACATTTCAATTATTTCATTATTTTACAGTATGACCTTGAGAGTGTAAGATTGTAGATAATTGATTATAGGAAATAGCTACATGCTTAAAATTTCACTATGCTGTCATTTCTGCTCTATCACCCTTGTACAGTATGCATAGATTCTGCAGTGTATAAGAAACTGTATTAGCAGTGAGGACAGATGGTCAAGTAAGTCATTTAAAAATGTTAACTATAAAACAGCAATATCACAGCATTATGATATCCTCCTAACTGAAAAATCCTGAAGTTGGAATTTCTTGCTGGAAGTGATATTAATGGGAAATTCCTATAGGATTCCATCATAACACAAAACAAAAACTAGATATTTAGAACAAACAGTACAATTGCCCCTGTAGGACATCAAAATGAATTTAAAGGAAATGTTCAGGATTTCAAAGCTCCATTTTAGGTTTTCTTTAACTGCACAGAAGCAAAATACAATACAAGCATTCTGTTTATAACACAATAACGAAATGACATAAGAATCAAAGAATGGTTGTATTTTAATCTTAAGATTCTGCATTCTTTTAGAATCCTTTCAGGTTGGTTGAAAATTACAATACAATTCCAAAAAATAATCCAGTTCACCTTCATTTTTTTTTTGTTTTGCTTTTTTGACTCCCTAATCTGTCAAAAGCATACAAAATAAATGATATGCACCAACCTGTGCGGCCAAATGTTTCTCACCTAGCCCTAGAATGACACACAGTAGATAGCTACGTAAGACACACAGCTGTCTCAGAGGTGTACACCTGGGGCCATTGTCAACTATTGTCCATTTATTTGACAAGGCAAGATCACATTTTTTTACCTCAACTTTTACTAGTGTGTCCTCTGGTACCCCTCGGGATGTTTTTAACTCATAATGGCATTTGTAAAATCCCCACACAGTGATGCATATACTGCTAACAGTCAATTTGAATAATCTTCACAATAAAGTGGCTTAAAGGGGTTTGTCTATACAAAAGTATTCATAATTATACACATTTCATCCTCTGAAATTCATCAGTGCATTGCAATGCTGCAGGTAGGCTAGATGAACCAACTCAACCATCGTCACGTCAATCCATAACGACTTTCTAAAGGTTTCTTATTCCAGCGAAAACACAGTCATAGGGACTTACCGATACGGAGAGCCAAAAGGAGGTCTGACGATTCCTGCTTCGGGCGACTGTAAAAGGTAAACGCGATGGAAGTGCTCACTAATCGGCTGACAGCTGCGGTGAGGTTTTTTGGGGGTGAAAGGGAGAGACGCAGCGATTACTGCAGCGAGGACAGTCCACGCGGAGCGCTCGAGGTGAAGTGACGATATATACAATAGAGCTCAGAGTCGGTCTGTGTTCATCACCACCAACCTGTCTCGTGTTTGCACAGTGCTCCGCGAGCTCTGCTGTGGTGTGTGCTCTTTTGAGTGTGCGCAAATTGTGCCTCTTCTCGCTCTGACCGAACTCGGATAGAGCAATGATAGAAAATGACATCAGCAAGTCAGCTAGATGTGAAAGTCTTTGAGATCCACTCATTCCGTCTTTGTTATTTCTAGTATTAAATTTTTTTTATTATTGTATCATTATTATTATTTTTAATTAGCCAACGTGTTGCTTATACAATTGCTTTCAAGGGGTATGTTTTTAAAATATAATCTGGTGAAATACCAGACCTAATTACTTGTACACTTTTGTAGTTTCACAAACGTTTAAAACCTTGCTGAAAGGATTTAATTGTATATTCGAAACAAAAGGCATGGTTATGTGTCAATGTACTAAAAACAGAAAAGTTTTTCCTTAGCATTTTTTAAATGCTTTGCATACAGACAACATCGTTGTCAAAACACTTCCTGTTCACACAGATTTGCGAAAATGACTAAAAACACTGTATTAGGCCTATACATGCCAGGCCAGAAATGTTACTTTGTAAAGAAACACAAGTCTGCACACATATACTGAACATGTACATATCCACATGTCGTCACCATTTTCACAAATTCATGTTTTTGTAGTTTACACAGAGATGATATGGTATTGATTTCAAAAACTGGCACCTTGAAACCGTTTTCAAAAGTTTGCATTTTCAGGACACCCAAAATGTTGTCAGGTAAATGAACAACCAAAACACATAAAAGGTTTTTAATTTTTGGTTAAAACCGGTGCCGCGTAAATACCCCCAAAAACTGCTTCAACTTTATATAGCCTATTTTTGGCATCAACTTAATTCTTAAATGTAAAAAGTGTTAAAACATTATAAAACATTGTAAACTTAATCATATATCATGAAAAATATGTCAGAAATGTGAGTAGCGTTACTTCAGATTGAAAATGATTAATGTTTCACTGTGCATACTTTTACCAGATGTAACATAACATTAGTCATTAACAGAATGTATTATGAGGCGTGTCTGTTTTATATAAGCTTTCATTTGTTACGCCAGAGATATAACAAAGAATGAAAATTGTGCCAACCAGCCCCATTCTCCCCTTCAATTTAATGTACAATAACATTGACCCTACCACAGTCATTTCACATCAGAACTTAGCAATGACACGGATCTATTTTTCATCATTATTACAGGACAGGCACTGTATCTGGGGACAAATAGAAGCAACGGATCTTTTTCTCTAGGATGTGGGTTCTTTCTTGGTTTCTTCGAAATGACATGTGGCATATGGTTCTTAAAGCACTAACACACTTGTGGTCTGACAGTAGAGTCCCATGACAGTTTGTCCCTTTAAGTTGTTTGCTTACCTTTTCCACCTACCCAACAGCAGAGTGATGGACGATGTGAAGAAGTCGAAAAGTTACGAGGCAGTTAGCAGATTTTCCACCCTTTCAGCTACATCTACAGGGTGTTGTTTGTCATTTGCACATTTGTTGAAGTCAGCACCATAGTTAAAGCTTTTCTCCCAATGCAGGCATCAATAAGGAGACCTATATGCCTGAGGAACAGTCACCGACCTGTTAAAGTACAGTGAAAAACTTGTTTTGAAACAAACCAATTCAAGAATGTTTCGTGACCCACCTACTGAGAATAAAAGTGTCAAATGGAACAGACGAGAACAGAAAAGTGAAAAATTAGCTTTATGCTGTGTTTTTATTTGATGGAAAGCATGAAAGGAATAGTAGTTTTGAAACCATCTTTCTTATAAGAATGTTTTGTTTTATGCACCAAAACTAGTTTTGAATTCATACATTAACTGGAGGTGTCTTCTTCAAAATGTCATGAATAATTTATGTATAGTTCAATGTGTAATCAAAATGCTCAACTCTATTATACCTCCTGCAGTTTTACACTGTATTGAAGAGAGTCTGTGAAATCACTTTCTTTGATGCATTGCATCCTCTTGTCAGAATATGCTATTATTTCATCATCCTATGTACTTGTCTTCAAAATTCATAAAATACAAGAGGGTGTTAAAGCAAAATGCAGGCTTCTGTATTAACACCATGCTAATCAATTCAGTATTATGGCAGAAAATGAAGAGCAGCTCCTGTTTACCTAAGAATCACTAAATCGCTACCATTCTGCTGGTAGCTAGACAAATAGGCCTTGCGCATCATTTGAACATCATGACATGCAGACAGCCAAAGCGTCTTCATGCAATCACATCAAACGCCCTTTCAATTTATGAGTTTGAATGGAATTGGCCAAACCTCAAAGGAATAATGTGAATGTATATGATGAAATATATGAACTAAATGCAAAGTTCTAAAGGTGGCACATTAAACTTATAAAACTTAAGACTTAATAAAGCTAAAAAACAAAGCTTTGTCAAGCCAACATTCAAAGTTTGTCTTAGTTACTATTTAAAGTTTCTTTTCAATTCTTGTTAACACAATGTGAACTCGATTCAAATTTAGAAGCTGATTTGAAATTAAAAAGGCAATTAAATTCTGAATGTCACACAATCCTGGTGGCAACAGGATCCCATAATCATGTCATAACAGACCTTAGTCAGGCTAGACGCCATATTGAATTTAGCGTGGATGAAAACGAGGCTGTAAACTCGGGATAGATTTGAAGTCTTTACTTTCAAAACTGTTTAATGCATTTTTGGTGAATGTTTTTCTGAAAGACGTTTTGTCAGCTGATCAAGCAATATTTTGTTAAACAACAGAACAATCCATTGAACGCACTGTACTTCTATGGTCTATGCCATCTGTAGTGTAATGGAGCAAAAATTAATGTTAATATCGCACATTAAGAATGGTATGTACATTGGAATGTTTTGTGCATTATGATATTTTATTTTGACAAATTAAAACGTTTCAGAGTTTGTGTCACTCTATAACTGCTACAGCCAAATCCAATGATAGTCAAGTACAACAGCAGTCTTGTGCAACAGACATGACCTCACAACAATTTGATGCATACACATTGAATCCTGTTGAGGGAATTATAGTGAAATCAGATCAAGATGACGATATGTCAGCTTTGATAAAATCAGCTGCCTGCTATTCAGTGGCTCGAAGTGGGTAACAGTATCCAAAGACAGCTGTTACAAGAATATGAATGTGAAGATGTCACAGAGAGAATGCTGATACAACAAAGACTCAGTGGAATGGAGAGGTCAGAGGAGAATTGAAGACATGACCTTTGTGGTTGAGATTTGACATTCCAGATTTTGCTCCAAAAAGAGATTCAACCGTGTAAAACAGGCCGCATAGAAACCATGGCTTAGGACAACAGGGTACCTTAGTTAAACTCAACATGTAGATGATTATGATGCTCTGTTATCACTGGAAAAACATGGTAGCACAAGGGTGGCCGCTGACTCAAACAAAGCGGAGGCGATCCATCATATGGAATTCTTCTAAGGCCTGTGGAGAGTTTTGACGTTAGTGGAGAGGCACAGACTAATCCAGACCCAGCAGGTGTGGAGGCGGAGGACAACGACCCTGTGGGTCAGGTCTGCAATAATACTAAAACTGAAATGCTTTTGAATTAATACAAGGAAAATTAGAGATTTTTACAGTTCATTTACATTTCACATCTTGCAATGAACACAGCTAACTAACAGTTCTGAAACATTCTCATTTAACACAAATTGAAGATGTCCAACAGCATTGATTTATATCATTAGTATTGGTAAAGTCTGGTTCTGAATGCAAAACAACCACCCACTGTGAGTATCAATAGCCTAATGGCAAAAGTCAGGTTAAAGGGCAACCCATAAACTTTAGGGTATTGAGACCCTATTTTTCTCAGGTTGCTCCAAAGGGACTATCAGTATAATTAGTTTACCACTTTGGTAAAATACTTCTTGTAAATCATATATAACATTTACAATTTTTTTCTCAATTTTATACATTACTAAATTAATTGTCCAACAAGTCTCATTGGAAAATGTAGCAGTTGCCTGATATGATATTATGTTGCTTCTTGCACGTTTTGCAGCACCTTTTAAATGAAATTTCTACTGAGTGGCACTTAAAGCTTAGTTCAGTTTCATCTCAAACAGAAGAACATGAATCTGCAACATTTTATGTTGGTTGTTTGAAATATAGCTTTGAAACTACCTTACTACCCATACTAAACCCTACCGTCAATCTGACCAACAGTGTTAACATGTCCACCATGTCATTTTAACTTGCTTCTTAGGTCTCTTTTATCATGACCTGTGTATCATGACCAACCAGACTCGTACCTGAATGCTCTGCTTTGCAAGTGCAACGCTGTACCAGGTGAGCTACAGAGCAAATTTACTACTTAAGAAAAGCCATACATATGGAGCAGTTATGTATTATGTAATGTATTACTTTACAAATCATGCACTGTAATAAAAGAGTTTTGAGGTCATTTCATAGTATTGTACCACAAAATACGTTTTTATTGATTGATAATCTTCCTCTGTAATAATAACTTTTTTTGGAAAAAGTTTTGTTTTGGTGTTTTACTGCAACTAATGCTGCCTTCACATGCTATTGGAATTATCGTAAATATGAGCTTCCTAGTCGGAAATTGGACATGAACAGCATTAGAGAGGCCTTATATGTCCAATTTCCGACTAGGAAACACGTATTTACAATAATTCGATCATTCCGAAATTGGATATGAACAGCATTAGAGGGGCCTTATAATTATGTCCAATTTCCAACTATAGGAAACTATATTTACGATAATTCCGATAGCACGTGAAGGCACCTTTAGTGTTCATTTCAGCTGGTAACTGTAGTGAGTTGTATGTACGTTTTTGTATAGGTACATATTTGAGTTTTTTTTTTTTGTATGAAAGAGTTCAAATAGTTATTTATATTAAATACTTCTTGCTTTTGTTCTGTTATGTTTCCTTTTTAAATGTAAATCCCTCAAATTTGTTTATTTACAGGTTTAAATAGGAACTGAAAACCAGAAACTGGTTTTACCCAAGATGTTATGAAGAACACTGAACCAGTCATCCAGAAACCGTCAACTGTCTAGGCACTTGAAGTCTAGCACTTGCTATTTGCATTTCTGTATC